TGGGAGAGAGTGTTCAGATACAGGGGCCACTTCTGGGAAATACAATCCAGTGTCTTCCTTCTCTTCTTCTGACAGAATCTTGTGCTCAGAAACACCTTTTGATTTTAATGCAGAGACATCATCAATTAGTTTCGTTGGAGATTCCTGGGTTACATTTGGTGGAACTGCATATTGGGAGGTCAGTGTTGATTCTGGTGTGAAATTCTCATTTCCTAGATTCTCTTCTTCTGATAGGACCATGTATTCAGATGTATCAGTTGAAAGTGGTGGGGCCTGGCATTCAGAAGTCAACTCAGTTGGGTATGGTGGGAGAGAGTGTTCAGATACAGAGGCCTCACCTGGGGAATATGGTCCAGTGTCTTCCTTCTCTTCTTCTGGCAGAATCATGGGCTCAGAAACAATTTCTGATTTTACTGGGGTCTTATGGTCAGTTTTCTTCAGTGACTCTTTTGTTGCCTGTGATGAAATTAAAAATTCAGCAGCAGATGTGGAATCTGGTGTGTCACGCCCACTTTCTGAGGCCTCTTCTCCGGATAGGACCGTGTGTTCCGATGTAAATGTTGAAAACAGGGGGGACTGGCATTCAGGAGTCATCTCCATTGTGGATGGTGAGAAAGAGTGTTCAGATACAGAGGCTGAAGCTGGGGAATAAGGCTCAAGTTCATCATTCTCTTCAGATAAAACTGCATGTTCAGACAGAGCTTTTACATTGGATGGAGAAACTGACTCAACCTCTTGCTTCTCTAGTTCATAGTTCAAATCCTGTGGAACCGAATACTCTGATACAAAAGCAGAATCAGTAGAGACAGACTCATTTTCCTCTCTTTCTTCTTCAGACAAAGCAACATGTTCAGGTTTTGATGTTGTCAGTAATGGCAGAATGGTCTCCTCTTCCTGCTCCACTTCAGGGGCCAAGCGTGGTAGGAAGGGCTCCTCAGAAGCTGATGGACTTTCTGGGTAATCAAGTTCTATGATCTCTTCTTCCACTACATTAGAATCTTCAGGTTCAGGGGTAGCAGACATTGGTAGAGATGTTTCTGTGTCTTCTTTCTCTGGTTCCTCTAACATTAGAGGTTCAGAAAGAGAAATGGATGGCTCTGGCACGTTTTCTTCCTTCTCTCCTTTGACACTGAGATGAGGAAGGGTCAGCTCTTCAGAGACTGGTTCTGCCCTTTCTAGTGAAGTCACATCCAGCTCTTCTCTCTCGGGGGCAAAATCTTCCTGGATAGATGCTGCCAGACCTGGTGTACCTGTTTCCAGAGAATCCTTCTCTGCCTCCAGTGAAATGGAATGGTCAGCAGAAAACACAGCTTCCTTCTTTACTTCATCCACTAAAGACGGTGAGACTGAAGAGTCATACTCTGCAGTTGTAGTCTCTTGTGTATTGGCCTCAGATTCTTCCTTTGCTGTTTCCAGGAACGCAGCTGCGGATGTATCTGGTGTTGAAGAGAAAGGCTCCATTTCTCGGGGTTTTGCTTCATCAGTTGGCGGTTGCGGCACTGACTGTGGAGGGCTGAGCTGTGTTTCTTGTTCCACTGTGTCATTACTTGTATAGGAGGAAGGTGTGTGCTTGGTGGCAGATGCAGCCCTTAGAGGAGAATCAATGTAAGTTTTCTTTTGATCTTCACGACCGAAGAAGGAGGTCAGGGACTTTGATCCTTCAGAGAGTGCACCTCTCCAGGGTGATGCAAGCTCTTTTACTTTATCAACTTCTATGCTTTTGACTACTAATTTGCCTGTTTTGGAAACTACATTAGAATCACGATTGCCCACATCTGGCTCTAGACTAATGGATGCATCTTTCCCCTTCCTATAATGTATTTCTTTGATAACATAACCCTTTGGCAATGTCCCATAAAATTGTAGAGGAATTAATTCTTCTTTAACAGAATTAAACATCTTAATTTTATATTGTACTGTTCCTATGTATACGGGCCTTAACACTAATGGCTTGTACTCTTTGTATATTGCCCCCGTAATAGGAGCTGTATTTGAGGCGGTCTTCTTTTTTCTCATTGTATCATAAATGCCAGTAGATGACTTTTCTTTTTGGGTGTTTAGTACCTTGCTTTCTGAAATTAAAGGATTACTTTTTTTGTTTGCTGGGACATCTTGGGAGTCAAAAGAGCTTCTTTTTTTGTTGCCTTTCCGATGTAACGATGGAGAGCCATGCTTTGACTTAGGCTTTCTTTTCCGAACCCTTTTAACTCCATCCACAATAAAGGAAACACTCCCTGGAGGGGAATTCACGGTTGACCCTTCCAGACTACATACACCAGAAGTCTGACTTTCTTCCGAGGCCCAAGGAGTGGAAGACCTACTTGAATTGGTCTCCCAGGTTATTCCACTATCTTCACGTTGAACTGTTACCATGGAAAAGGAGGGGTCAGATATGATACACTTCTGCTTGGTCTTGCCCTCTTCATCCTGGTCTGATAATCTGTAGTAAATAACAACATGATTAATAAGTATATGTGTATTAATAATAAAAACATTATATTAATTACATATTATAACAATAAGTAAATATCCTATTTTTACAAGGTAAAGGATTAACATGACATTAAAATATACAGATAAATTGGGCCATCCATATCAAAAATATGGAACTATACAAAATAAAGTTTAAAAATTGAAGTTAGGATACCAAATACAATAACACACCCCAGGCTGGAATGAATCAATATCCTGAAAAGTTAATAAAAAGGGCTGAAGTTCATAATCTTTCCCTATCAGGCTTGCCCCCCAGACCCCCATGGCTCACCCAGTCACTCAGGGCCACTGTCTAGTCACTAGGACCTTCCTAATGGCTCTTGTACCTGTGCCATCTCTGTAACTACTATCACCATCCTGACCTACCTTTTTATCACATCACCCTAGATTATTTCATTAGCTTCTTAACAGGTTAGCTGGTATCATGTTTACCTCCTATTCTCTCCACCCTCAATCCATCCTGCTTATCTTTCCAGATCAGCTTTACTAAAAAATTTTATCATGCCACCTCCTGCTCAAGAATGTCAGGAAATTCCTCATATCTGTAGAAAAATAAGTTCAAAATACGTAACTCTCTGATAACAAGCTGACCTTATTTCCAAGTACCACTTCTACTCTACCCTTACATGGTACATTTCTAATTTAACTACATAATTCACTGTCTAGTCAACATATCATGGGAACTCTGTGCCAGGGCCATGAAGGAAAAATAATGAATACAGAGATTTCACAAAAAACATCAGCCTGCTGTGTCTGTAGTTTCCTCATCTGTAAACCAGGGATCATAATAGAACCTACCTCATGGGGTTGCTGTGAGGATTAAATTAGTTAACACACATGAAGTGCTTAGAAAAGGTGCCTGGCATGTGGTCAGCTCACCATAAACATTATCTGTAATCAGGCCTTCTGTATGATCATTGAACTAGAGATCAAAGGAGCCTGTGCATGGTCATTTTCAACTACTAGAGGGGTTTGGAAAGGTGGTCTCCTTGGACTGCTCTCGTGTCCCCTCAAGCAATGGCTGGCTTTGGCTGTCCCTTTCAATTGCCATTGGGCCTCTGTCTCAAACTCCAAGCATTCTTCTCCAGAATTTCCTTACACTTCCTCCTCCCCTGCACTCATGCTGTTCCTCCATTTACAGTTCTTATCCCCCACCTTAATCTACTCTTTCTTTATTTTTAAATTCTATCTACTCTTCAAGGCTTGTTTAAAAACCTCCACTGTTACCATTCCTGACCGATTCAGCAGTCATATTTGCCATGAAGTTTAAGATTGAGGTAAGTACAACACTGGCTTATATACTTTTCTACAATATTAAAAATAAAAACAAAAACTCTCTGCTAAGAAACCACTAAGCGTAAGTATTAAATTAAGGTACTTTAAAAAAAAATACATAGTTAGAAGTTAGCTCCCTTACCAATAGTTTATTTATTTATTTATTTATTTATTTATTTAGTCATCAGTCGCTGATTATATTAGTGGCTCTTAATTCTGGACATACATTTTAGAATCACCTATAGGGAAATTTTTTTTAAATACTGATGCCACCCTCTACCCTTTTTCACAGACCCTGGTTTAACTGTACTAGGGTAGGAAGTTTTAAAAGTTTCCAGGTGACTCCAATATGCAACCAGACTTGGAAATCACTGGCCTAGACAATCCTAGCTATGAAACCTAACTAGTACATGCCTTTCTTGCTTACTCTGAACACTTCTTAGTTTAACAGGTTAGGCTGAGAGCCAAGACCATAAATCCTTGAAGGTACATGCTACTCCCCTTTCTTAAACTTCAGAGTTTCCCCAGCAGTCAGCTATAGAGGGGTCATGGACGGCTGAGATCCTGATCTCCTCAGCTCTCTCCCACAGCCAGGTGGAGCCTGGGGCAGCCAGAAGCCCTGGGCCACTGGTCTTCTGTAGCAAGCAGCCTCATCCATTCACCCAGTGTGCTATAAACAATTTCATTTTCTATACAGGCAGTGAGTGAAAAGGGCTGGAAAGCAGTGGGAAGAACTAGTATCTCCATTTTCCTGGTAACTCTGCTCTCATTTATTTGCTTTGGTGTTCAACTACTAAACTTACTTAGCATTTAATACGCTATCTTGGTTCTCAACTGAATCTTACTTTTAAATATTTTTTTCAGGCTCTTTTACATATCTACTTAAACATTCCTCAGATTTTTCAATTCCTTCTACCCCGCCTCCCTTCTGTTCCCTTAACAGAAGCAGGATGAAATTTAAAAATTAAGGCTATGACGTGCAATTGGGAAGTAAGCATTTTGAATGCCCATGATTGTAGTAGTCTTACAAAAACAATTATAAATTTAATTTAGAGTTAATTATTGATTGTAAATTCAATGTACTCAATCAGAGAAGTTTTCATTACTAGCTAGAATGAGTTCATGAGTTCTTAGCAGAATACCCAAATGGTGGCCATGAAAAGATAGAAGTCTACTGAGATGGGTTCACTCAATCATTTACTTATTTACTAATTCATTTATTTCTTCATTTAGTAAACTTTTATTGAGTTTAAATACTACAAATACAAAGACAGAATCTTCTGTTAAGAAAATCAAAATTTAACAGGGAGACAGAACTGAACATTTTAGTACAGTGTGACAAGTTCGACTACAGAAGAGAGGCAAGATCCAGTGAGAACATAAAGAAGGGAGGACTTTACAGAGAAAAGATACTTGTTGGATTTTGAAGAGGAAATAAAAGTTTGCCAGATGGATGAGGAGTGGAGGTGGTGTGAGGATGAGACGGTCATTCCAGGAAAATGTCACAGGACATGCAAAACATAGATACGAATAAATCAGTCTCGCTCACTGAGAAACCCAAAGTATTTTGGGATGTCTGGATTACTGGAGAGGAGCAAAGGCACAGAAGAATAACAGAGCCAACATGAATCAGAGAATGACTACATTAGCATGTGTAAAGTCATAGTCCAAGTATTCAAATTACACTCAGTCTAAAGAAACCATTTCCTTTAACAGAAGGCCAACGGTCCCCACAGAGTTCAGAAGTGTGTTTCTTACTCAGGAACACAAGTGTTCTCATCGATGCAAAGATGTATACATCAGCTTTCCATGATTAATGGATATTGGCTACGAACATCATCGTATTCATTCTCTGAGTCTCACAATGCAACCTTCTGATTATTACTTGGCTTCCCAAGTAGATTTATCTGTAAGAGTGAGGAGAGACACCACTTGATGACCTGGGTAGCTCACTTTCTTCCTCCTTTCCGAGTTTGGCAAGGAGAAACTGCAGCAGGTCTGAGTTAGAATCAGGAAAGAATAGACTGATACCAGAGCTGAGTGCCAAAGCCTCCTCCTTCCTTTTGAGGACACCCTTTATCTCATCTCCTATTCCCATTTGCTTAGAGATATTTTTAATAAGGAATGAATGTTGAATTTTATTATACAATTTTTATACAACCATGGAGATGACCATATCCATTATTCTGTTGATGTGGTGAATGACAATGATTGATTTCCAGATGTCAAGCCAACTCTGAACTCCTGAAATGACCTCAATATGGCTGTGATGTATTATATTTTTTATATTAAAAAGTTGGGCTTTGTTTAGGAATTTTGCTCCTGTGTTCATGAATAATTGGGCTGTAATCTCCTTTCTTACAGTGGGATTGTTGGGTTTTTGTATCAAGATTGTGCTGCCTCAGAGAACAAACTGGGAAGTGTTCTCTCCTTCACTAGTCTCTGGAAGAGTTTGTGGAAGATTGTATTATTTCTCCCTTGTTTGATAGACTTTATTGGTGAAGTCATGTGGACCTGTAGTTTTCTCTTTAGTAAGATTTTAATTAGCCATTTATTTAATAGTTATGACTACTTGGAATTTCTAATTCTTTTTGTGACAGTTTTGGTATGTTGTATTTTTCTAAGAATTGACATATTTAGCCTAAATTTTAAAAAGTCATTGGATTAATTTGTTTATACTACCTTTTCAGGATGTTTTAAGTTGTTTTAAGATCTAAAATTGTGTCCATTGTTTCATTTCTGATATTGGTTATTTGTGTCTTCTCCTTTTTTTGTCTTTATAAAAATTGCCAGAGGTTATCATTTGGTGATCTTTTCAAATAACCATTGGCTTTATTGATGTTTCCTATCTGATACATGCTTTTTATTATTTCCTTTTCAACTTTGACTTTAATTAGCAAGTATTTTCCTACCTAATGAGATACAATCTTACCTCATTATTTTCTACCTTTCTCCTTTTCTAATATTAACTTAATTCTAGGTATTTCTCTTTAAGCAAAGATTTTGATGCTATAGTAAAAGTTGGTATATAGTATTTTCATTATTATTATCATTCATCTCAAAATATTTCCTTTCAATTTTATTGAAATATAACTAACATACAGCACTGTATAAGCTTAAGTGTGCATATGGTCTGATTTATATACATCATGAAATGATTACCACAATAGGTTTAATGAACATCCATTATTTCATATAGATAAAAATAAAAGGAAAAGAAAAACCTTTTTCCTTGTGATGAGAACCCTTAGGATTTACTCTTCTAACAACTTTCATATATAACGTACAGCAGAACCGATTATATTTATCATGTTGTACACTACAACCTTAGCACTTATGTATCTTATAGCTGGGAGTTTGTACCTTTTGGCTAACTTCATCCAATTCCTCCACTCTGCCTCTGGTAGCAACAAATCTGGCCTCTTTTTTTTTAAGAGTTTGTTTGTTTGTTGTTGAAGTGTAACTGACTTACAACACTACATTAGTTCCTGGTATATAATGTAGTGATTTAGTATTTCTATACATTTCGCTACATTACATGTGATGACCTCCATAGTAACTCTGGTTACCATCTGTCACCATACAAAGATATTCTATCATTATTGACTATATTCTCCACACTGAACACTTCATACCTGTGACTCATTTATTTTGCAGCTGAAAGCTTGAGTTT